ATTAAAGTGTAGTTCTGCTATTAAATGGTAATTTTCTATTAAAATTCAAACATCTTAATTACAAAACCGATAAATCTACAATAATTTGAATTTTAGGAAATATCTTCATGAGAAAAATAACGTGGCAACCAAAATGATTCTAAACCACAGTATGTAGTAAAGCAATCAATATAAATGTTTTATATAGGTACAATACAAATATCACAAACAAAACTCAATGTCAAGTATAAACATGACAATTCCTATTAATATTTTGATATTTATTTCATGAAACAGGTCACCTTAAACAGCAAGTTCTGGGAAAAGTTCTTCAAAACCTTCAGTAGGGCACTTAGTATGATCAAGTAGTGAGCTACATGTAAACGATAAAGATCTGTCCAATTTCTCCTCTTTAGCTTTATGGTTTTGAAAAGAACATTCTATTGGCATAAAGTTATTGCTCTTAATTAAAGAGGATTCAACATGCTGCTCTTGGCTTGCTCCACTCATTGGACTACCTGCACTCACAAACAAATTACTATGACAGTTAATGTCTGAAGGACTATTAAAAGAAATGGCAACAGCAGCACTATTTAAATTGATAAGAGACACATGTTTTGCAATTTCTGCAAAATTATCCACATTTAGATGTTCAATAAATAGCATAGGACATTTCAATACTGTTAAACTTTCCTCAGAGGTTGGAATGTTAGTTTCTGCTCTTGCATTAAACTGCATAAAAAACACTTCTTTTTCATTTCTAGTCTTCAGTGGAGAATTCACAACTGTAATATCTTCAACCCTAGTTTTAGTTTCCTGGGAGATAAGCATGTGTGACTGTTTTATAGGTGTAGTTCTTTTTGCTTCTTTGTTCTTACTAGTCCTCTTCTTACTTGATCGTGTACACTTATTTCCCTGCATATGAATCTGCCAATTTCCCTTTTGTGAGAATTTTGAGCCACAGGAAGAGCACTGAAATGGTTTTCTTTTTTCATGAACGTCCCACATATGTTGCTGAAGAATAGATTTTCTGGCAAAATTCTTATCACACAACTTGCACTTAAAAGGCCTTATACCAAGATGAACCTGTTGATGACGTTGTAGAGACGATTTCAAAACAAAATTTTTTAAGCAGACATCACATGAGAATGGTTTCTTTCCAGTGTGAGAAACCTGATGACCCAAGAGATGAACCTTTTGCGTAAAACCTTTTCCACATACTTCACAAATATAAGGCTTTTCACCAGTATGTGTCCGTAAATGCATGTTTAAATCATACTTCTGGTAAAACATTTGAGTACAATATTCACATGCAAAAGTCTTAACTCCAGAGTGAATGAGAAGATGTCCTTTAAGTTGATGACCAAGAGCAAATCTTCTGCCGCACTCTTCACACACAAATGTCTTCTCCTGATGGATTTTGGAATGTTTATGTAATGCAATTTTTGTGTCAAAATGTTTATTACATTTCTCACAAGCTGGTGAAATAGGTTCTTTTGATGACTGCTGTTTTGCTATTTGGAAGAACATGAGAGTTTTAATCATATTTTTGAACAAACACAGTACAATATGCAAATTTCAAGAATTCCTTCACCAATACCTACTTTTTTCAATGTTTTCTCAGCAATTTTATTTTGTAAGGTTAGTTTATGGCCATAAGAAGATACACTTAAGTTATAAAAACAAAAAACAAAGGCCTAACTTTAAATGAATGTCCAAAAGTTAATAATTTCCAACACTAAAAACATACTTACAATAGATACTTACATCCACTCATATAATAACTTAACTTGACTTGACTTGTGCTGCTCTCTGTAAACACAATTTTCACTCACCAATAGCCTTGATACCCCCACTTACTGTTACATGTTTATATGTGCTATAGCTGCACTGTAGCATGCAAATAAGTATGCAACAATCCTCCAACAAGAGGAGTGTGACACACCCTCCTTATGCCACTGACTCCCTCTATACCATAGAGTACTTTCATCACTCTAAGATTAGGTGAAAGGATGCACTAAAAGTGGGGAGGAAGTGTGAGAAGAGGTATCTATCGGAAATAAATTTTTTAGTAGGGATGCACGGGTACCCAGCCAGATATTCGGCCCAGGCCGGGTAATTGGAAATAGCATATAAGCCTTAATCTTTGTGGCAACTTATGCGGTACTGAAAGATACAGTCAATAATTTGTTTATTAAAAAACAACGTGTTCTGAGCAACAAAGATTGACTATCCGCTGAAAGTCAGGGATTCAGAGAACAATAGGGGTTATTAACAGGCATGGCTTGAGAAGTGGATTTCTGGAAAAGGTGGAGATTTTGAGAATAATAGGAATTAGGGTTTGAGAAGTTGGGGCAGGGCATTGAAAATTGAAAGCAAAACTTGAATGTTCTGTTGGAGATTATTTGGTTAAATGTAATAAATGTCAATTTTGTTTTTGTATCCAATTTCAGTGTATGTTTTTTGTGGAGGGGGGGAGCAAGGGGAAAACCTGTTCTCAGTTGACCAATGGCCCCACTTGAAGTTTAGTGACCAGGCACCCAGACCCGGTATTCGGGCAAATTTTACAACCCATGCATCCCTAATTTTTTGTGTAGGTATATGTTAACTTATGATACAAAACTTTACCTCATCTCACATAACAGATAGAATTCCACAATGAAATAATGGAGTGTCAAAAGTTACTTAGATGAGGACTTTTGGAAGGTGCCCAAAGAAAACCCATGGAGTGTGTTACCTTAATGTATAGGGTCACACCCATGGGAGACTGCACCCCATCTGTACCAAGTATACTCTTCTCTTATTATAACATGTGTCACTGAATCAGGCAGAAAGATGCATGTACAATTTGTAAATGGATGCACCAGATAGTACAGGGTGACTAGGGAGTATCAGGCCAAGAACCAACATCCAGGTAGTGATAGCATAGGGGAAAGCCAGCTGGAGGGATGAACTGCATGTGGTGGGTTTGTCCAGTCCAAAACCAGACAGCATTGGTAATTTCTCATCCAGTCCACAGTAGGAGAGTACTCACCATCTACACCAACAGAACAGGGATCAGAGGGACAGGCAGCATTCTCAACACTGCCTTAGTCACGATAGTCCATGAGTAGGTACAGCTTGGTTTGGGCTTTATTTATGAAGCAAGATACTGCAAGGCAACTTTGAGTGGTTTTATGGAACACTACATCTCATTGTGAGCATTGTAGACCAACATGGCTAAATGGTATGAATTTCTGTTGAAGTAAACCTGTACAGGCACCACTCACCACAAAGTGGGATCCAAGCAATGAGAAAAAGAGGCCACTGCAAAGACATGAAATAACAAAAAGATATGAAATGTGGTGTGTAGAATGATGATGGGAGGCAAGAGATAGCCAGAGATAGTGGGCTATAAAAGTGTGAGGTGTGGTCTACATGCCAATCTGGATAATCTCTTCTAACAGGGAATGGAAGTGGGCAGCTAGGAAAAAGGTGAGATGATATATTTGGTGGTACAATGAACAAGTGGCCAAAGGTTCAAATGGAGGAAGGGTAAGGGCAAGAGGACCATATCGAGATTCCAGTCAGGCAGAGGTATTGGACAGGGTAAATAAAGCAATCAAAAGGAGCAAAATATGAGAGAAAGAAAAATGCAATGGGAGCGGGAGAAACAAAAGCTATTAGATAAGGCCGCCCTATAGCCAGCAATGATGTAAACTGATAGACCATTGTTGAATATCCAAGTAAAGAAATCTGAAAGGTGCAGAACAGTGGGATGGGAGGGTGAGAAATGATGTTGCAGAAATCAGCACCAGAAAATGTGCTATTTAGTCAGGTAGAAATTCAAGGAAGAAGGGAAGACTGAACAGGACAGAAGGGAGGCTACCCATGTAGAATTTGGATTGCCTTGCAAGAGACAGGACAAAATCCATGCATAAAGCCAGAGTATGGTGATAGCAGGATGATATGGGGAAGACTGAGGTTGATGGAGAGGGGATCAGCAAAGTGGAAGAGGTAAGGGAGGAGACAATTGAAGAAGGGTCAGGATCAGAAAGACAGATGAATGGGTGAGAATGGGATGATGACAAGGTCCCAACACGGAGTGGTTTGGATCTACTGCAAAAGCTAAAGGATGTGGAACTGGAGTCCAAAAGAGGAGCAGTTTGGTATTGAGATGGGTGTGTGATGGATTTATTATTATATATATATATATATTTATTTATTTTAATATCAACGTTTGTTTAGATTAAGTTTACATTTAAAAATATGCATAACTTATAGTGTTAAAATAAAATAAAACTGTGTGTATCAATCTTGTTGGCAAATATCATAAATTGGAGATATATCACCATATATTTAAATACCAAATCCAAAG